GATTCTAAATTCTAGTTCAGACATTTTGCTTATATCTGTGTTTATTAAGCCCCTGGCTGTCATTGCTTCCTGTTCTTTCTTTTGGGGTGAATTTCTTTGTTATGTCTCTTTGGAGAAGGAAAAAAAATATAAAATTAAATTTAAATTTAAAATTAAAAAATTAAAAGCAACAAAAAATCAAATAAGGGAAGCTAAATCTTAGGTGTATTTTGGTCTGGTTGTTGAAAGAAGCTTGATAGAATTGAGAAAAAGGGAAAGAAAAGGAAAAAAATGTAAGAAAAAGTAAGAAAATAAAAAAATGTATACAACAAAATAGAATAAAATGAAATAGTTTAAAAATTTAGAAAAAAACATAGTAAAAAGAATTTTAAAAATTAAAAATAAATAAAAATAAAATTTTCTGTTTATCCAAGAAAAAGAAAAGGAGAAAAAAGAATTTAAACTAACGCCAAAAAGAGAGAGAGAGAGAGAATAGATGAACCTGCAAACAGAATGAACCCTGAATGAAGTTATATCCAGTTTCCCTGAGAACTCAAACTATGAAGCCCTCTATAGTCCATACACTAAGCAGTGGTGAGACTTGTGGTGGTCCTCTAGGGCATGTGCTTGGAAGGCGCAGCTGGGCAGGGTTTGGAGAACCCCTAGTGTTCTCAACTAGGTGGCGCTGCTTAGTTACTGGGGTGTATCAGTGTGGTGCTCCTGCACATGTATCGCATGCACAGGAGAGGTGAAAATGACATTACCCAGCTTCCTAGTTTCTGGCCCAGGAACTCTGCGCTAGGAGAGGAATTGCCCATCATGGGGTGTACACGTGTCAACTGTTCATACCATTCAGTTTTTCAGAGTAATTGTATTGACTTACATCCCCATTAATTTGTGAGTGCTTCTCACCAGTAGTTAGTATGGCACTCTCTGGTTCCTGATCCCACTGGGTATGTGGTACTATCACATTATGGTCTTAATTACATTATCCCTAATGATTAATGAGATTAAGCATTTCTTCACATATTTATTGGCCATTTGAGTAATACCAGGGCAAGAGAAAGAACATGCATGCATATTTGAGTGGGGGAGGGGGAGAGTGAGAAGGAGGTAGAGAATCCCATGCAGACTCTGTACTGTCAGCGCAGAGCCCAACTCAGGGCTCGATCCCACAAACCGTGAAGTTATGGCCTGAGCCGAAATCAAGTCAGACACTCAACCAAGTCACCCAGGTGCCCTTGGATAATTCTGTTGTGAAGTGGCTGTTCAGATGTTCTGCCTATAAATCCTACTGGGTTGTATTTTTGATTTTTAGGAGTTCTTTCTATTTTCTCTAAGAAAAAGTCTTTGTCAGTTTTACATGCCGTAAATAACTTCTCCTACACTATGGTTTATCTTTACATTCTCTTACTGTTGTCCTTTTTATGAGCGAAAGTTCCTCATTTTGATGTAGTTTAATCAATTTTTCTTTATGGTTTTCAGTTTTTGTGTTCTGTTCAATAAATATTAACCTGAATTTCAGGTTTTAGAATTTGTTTTTTTTTTACTCATTTGTGTATTCTAATTTTCTGCAACAGTCACATACTGCTTTTGTAATTGTTTAAAAGAGAAAAAAATTTTAAAGAAACTAAAGAGAAATAGAAGAGTTTAGCACCCTGTAAAATAAATTAAAATCCAGTGGATTTGAGGTAAAGAATTATTCTGAAGAATCTAGAAAAAGCTCAATGCCTGCCATACCCACAAATGCCTCTTGAGAAAAGCACTTTTTCTGCATAAGTAACTACCTGCGAAGTCAGCCCATTTTCCTGGCCAGAGCTGATAGGTAGGAGCATGTGCAGGTACAGTGAGGGTAAGGACAGTGAGGAGCCATGAAGGCGCTCCCCCTGAAGCCCCTGATAGGCAAAGATGTTTGGTGACAAGCTGACCCTACCAGCTCCTCTTCTTTGGTATGTACGAGTGCTAGGTTAGTTGGGAACCCATCTCCCTACCTTACCCTGGCCCAGTAAAGGAAGTAGCCTGCCTTCTCCAAAGGCCATTCCTGCCTCCTGGGTGCTAGATCCAGTTCTCTCCTTTAAGGACTTCACTCCTCTGATGGTGCCTTCTATCCCACACCACCAGCTTTTCCCTCTTTTTATCAATACATAGACATACCTTTTTTCTTTTTCTTTTCTTTCTTTCTTTCTTTCTTTCTTTCTTTCTTTCTTTCTTTCTTTCTTCCTTTCTTCCTTTCTTCCTTTCTTCCCCTCTTCCTTTCTTTCCTTTCTTTCCTTTCTTTCTTTCTTTCCTTTCTTTCCTTTCTTTCTTTCTTTCTTTTTTGAGAGCACAAGCCCGGCAGTGGGGCAGCAGAAGAGTGAGAGAGAGAAAAAGAGAGAGACAGAGAATCTTAAGTACGCTCTACCCTTAGCACTGGGCCTGATGCAGGGTTCCATCCCATGATTCTGGAATCCTGACCTGAGCTAAAATCAAGAGTCTGACACTCAACCAACTGAGCCACCCAAGCGTCCCCATTATAGACATATCTTTCTAAAAAAAAAAAAAACCTCTTTCTACTCTTGCCTTTCCCCCTTCTAGCCATCACTCCTTTTTTTTTTTCTGTTTCACAACCCAGCAAAATTTCTGAGAGTTATGTCCACTCATTTTGTCTCCACTTCTTCACCTCTCCTACTTCTAATCCAGTGTGGCTTCTGCTCAACCACCTTCTTCTTTGAAAAAAAATGTTTTAAAAACATTTATTTATTTTTGAGAGAGTAAGCACAAGTAGGGGAGGAGCAGAGAGAGACAGAGGATCCGAAGCGGTAAAGGAGCTTGCTTACAGCAGAGGATCCGAAGCAGTAAGGAGCTTACAGCACAGAGCCTGATGCTGGGCTTGAACTCACAAACTATGAGATCATGACCTGAGCCAAAATTAAGAGTTGGCCTTAACAGGCTGAGCCATCCAGGTGCTCCTCAACCACCCTTCTGAGATTGCACTTGTCAAGGTCAAAAAAGACTTCGATTTCTCTAAATCTAATGGACATTGGTGGGTTTTGGTTTTTTTTCATCTCAGCAGCCTTGAAAAGAGTTGACTGCCCTCTCTGTGAAAATTTTCCTCTTTTGACTGTTACATCACACTGTCCTTATTTTCCTTTTACTTCACTGTTTGCTCTTCTCAGACTCCTTTGCTGACTCTTTTTCAATAAGAGTCAAGCCAATAGAAAGGTGTTGACACTTTTAATTTGCTCCTGTAATACTAAATACCAGTTTATAAGTGTTCTCAGGGCTTGGTCTTGACTTCTTTCCCTTCTTCTATAGTAGCTCCCTGGGTAGAGCCATGGCTTTAAATACCGTCTGTGGGGGGTGCCTGGATGTCTCAGTCAGTTGAGTGTCCGACTCTTGATTTAAGCTCAGGTCATGATTACAGGGTCATGGAATTGAGCCCCATATCAGGCTCTCCACTGGGTAAGAAGCCTGCCTAAGATGTGTGCGCTCTCTCTGTCTGTCTCTCCCTCTCTGTCTTTCTCTCTCTCTCTCTCTCTCACACACACACACACACACACACACACACACTCTCTCTCTCTCTTTTTTAGAGAGAGCTCTAAAAGATAATAGTAAAATAAAAAATATATTAATTTTTTTTTAAATAAATGCTGTCTGTAGACTGTGCTTTTGTATTCCTCTTTCTAGCCCAGGCCTCTCCTTGAGCCCCATGCTCATATACCTAATGCTTACCTGACATTCTGTCCTTTGAAATCTCACAGGCATTTTGCTCTTAGCATGTCCTCATTGGACTTGATTCTCACCAATCATTTCAAGCAAGGTCTTTCCCCTAGTCTTTCAAGCTTGGACTTCCTCAAGTCTTTGTCATCAAATTAAATAGCATATCATTTGCCAAAAGCCAGAAACATGGAAGTCATTTTGGCCTCCCCCTTTCCCTCACATTCCATCCATCAGCAAGTCCTGTCCATTCATAATGCCCCCTCTCTCCATCTCTACTGCCACCACCCTGATTCCATCAGCCAGTGCCAAATCTTCCTAAGGAGTCTCCCAACTTTCATGATGGCCTCCTTTAATCCATTCTCTGCTTTCTTAAACATCTAAGCCAAGTCATTCAGCTCCTCTGTGTAAACCTGTTCTGTGATCCTCCATTGCACTGAGGAAAAATGTATACCAACAGGCTACATAGCTGGTCCCTGCCTTCTTCTCTGACCTCATCTCATGTGTCACCCCTCCATTCCTACATATCATTCATAGCACTATTCTCAGCTTCTCATCTGCCCCAGACTCTTTGCTCTACTGTCGTTCCCTCCCTCAGTCTACACTGAGGCTGGCTCTTCTCCCAACTGTATGTCTCACTTTATGTGCCACTTCCTCAGGGCCTCCCCAAGTTGACCTCCTTGTTCTTACTTATCCTAGCACCATCACAATTATAATTATTCTGTCTAGCATGCATCACAATGTGTATTATTTATTTGTTTCTTCATTCATTACTTGCCTCTCTTACTAGCATATAAGCTCCATCAGGTAGATACTTTGGTCTTCACTGTTGGGTAACACAGTACCTCTTGGCATTCCGTCAGTGTTTTTTAAATAAACTTTTGGAGCCCTCAGCAATTGCATAGCTGCAAAAGAGATCCTGTGCCCTCTTGTTCCCTCAAATTCTAAGGATCCGTACTACAGCAACGTGGATGTGTCCTACTTTCTTGCAAATATTAAGAGCTGGTTAACACAGAAATTATTATAAACTGTGCCCAGAATATATAACATGTGTCTTCTCTTGGGTTTTCCATTAGATGCTGACTTCTAATTACCCTCTAGGTTTGCCATTTGAATATAGTAAAGCACACATCTGTGGGTTAATTTCTGTCGGCGAGGTTAGTTCTGTCCGTCTGTGTGGTGCTCCACATACACGACATACATCATGTTTGTTGAAACGCACCCCAGCTGTTGAAAGTATCCTAGATTTTCCTCTCTCTTTGGTTACTCTGCATGTTTAATAAGCTTGCTCTTATTACCCAAGCTGCTTTATTTTCCTTTTGCAGACTTTCATAAGTCCTCATTACGGAATAAATTTGGTGTCAACATATATAATTGTGGTACTCATGGGCATCTGGGCGTTCTTTGTTGCTGGAGGCAGCTGCCGAAGCCTGAAACTGTGCCTCCTCTGCCAAGACAAGGACTTCCTCCTTTTCAACCAGCGTTCCAGATAACCTCTGAGCACCAGCACCTGCCACACAGTAAGCTGCGTCTTTAGAGGAAGCACAGTTGTGCCTTTTTCTAAAAATTCCTTTTCCTGGTGGTATTTAGATGAAACAAAACCCCCTAGATAAAATGTGACTTCATGCAACAGCTCTCTGGAAGGATATATCAGTGGATGTCCACGTCCTGGCTACACATTAGAATCGAATCCCCTGGGGAAACATAAAGAATATTGATATATGGGCTCCACCCTCCACATATAATTGGTCTGGGCTTTTGGTCATTTTTAAAAGCTTTTCCCAGATGACCCTGATGTGCAGCCAGATTGTGAATCATCAGTGTCTAAATAGGAACTTTCTGAGAATACCATAAATGAATAAAAGTCTGATGTTTAGCCGTCTCTCAACTTGTGCTGAGCAGGTAAATCTCTGAATGTCAAATCCTGCTCAGCCTTTGTCTTTTTAAGCTGTGAAGTCACAAAACGCTAAAGGGCTCTCACCCCCGTGAACTTTTCATGTTCTTTACTAGTTCCCTAAATGTATGAGAACATGGTAGGTTGTGCTTCTAAATGCAATAGTAAATCGCACTGACTTACTATGATAATCTAGCCAAAGTAAGCTAGTGATTCACAAGCTGTGTTTTTTTCTGTAGTTTTTACAATCTGGATTTTGCTTTTTGAGGCATTACATTGTGAGGGAAGGTTCAGTTTCTTTACCTAAGAATCAATTATTTTCTGATTTCTGGGAAGGTATTAGAAACCAAGAATTTTGGTGCAACTTCTGTAAGTCTTTCCTGGGTTTAAGGCTTTTCTCGAGCTGTGCCCCAAGGCAGTGTTTACCAGCAGAGTGCTGGTGGTTGGGCTAGTTGGGGTGAAGCCCGTTATACTATCTCTGAGTAGTTCTGCAGGTTGCTGAGTGATGTACCCTGGGACAGGCTTCACTAGAGCTGGTGAAAGTTCAAGAGCACGAGGCAAACAAGCCAGTAGAGTGATGTTGACACTTTTAATTTGCTCCTGTGATACTGCCAGCACTTCCTCCTCCCCACCAAGTGATGTAGTATAAAATTGGAAATGTGTCCTAAACTGCCAAATCCATGCTTTTACAAAATTCATATAATCTTTAGAGGTAGCAAATGTCTCTTCCAGTTTTTAGTAGCAGATAGAACTTTCCCTTTATAGGAATACCCAAGGTGTTTGTTCAGCTTCTAAGCAGCCCTTTTAATTTCCTTTATTAAGGGGAAATGCCAGTGAATTGTGCCTTTACGAACTAGAAATTGTTCCCAGTTGATGGTTTTTAGGGAGCGGATGGTGTGAAATGAAAATTTCCTACACATTAAAGTGATCAGCTCAATGGATCCCATATGTGCAGTAGAACACCCAAGAGAGATAGGAGCAGCAGTGAGAGGGAGCCTCGCCAGTGCCGTGACAGATGGAAGAATTGGACGGTACTGTGGGGAAGAATGATGAACATGTTTAAAATTGAAATGTGGCCAGTATTTTGGGCTAGCCACACGTCATTCCAGGAGCCAAACCTTTCACTTGAACTAGGTCTTTAGCCGTGAAATCTCCCCCCATGTTTTAATTGCTAGAATTTGTCAATCTAGGGATTCAAGAGAAATAGGATTTCTAGCAAGACTGTAAACAGTCCCGTAGCAATTATAGTTATTCCCCTAAAGTTTACCTCACAGCACTAATACCAGTGTTTCCACTGGAATTTGCAGGTTTCCACCTCTGTACAAGGTTTTCCTTAGACTAACAGAGCCACAGGAAGAGTCAAGGACACAGAGACTGAGTAGTGAAATTTACTGTGCAGAGTTGAGGGAAACAGGATGCCCACTGAGCTGGGCTTTATTCCTTTAGGAATGTGGTGTTCTTTGGTGAACAGAATAAGAAAAATATATAGTTGGTTATTACTTTTGACTTACAAATCTCTTAAATGGACAGTCTGATAAGATATTTGATCTGTAATGTATTGAAAAATCCGAGAATATTAATATTACTCGTTCCTGCCCTCTGAGGATATCCTCTGTGCTTTAATAGTTTAATATTAAGTAAAGAATCTGGGATATGGTACAGTCTCACTTATAAAAACTTCTCAGGCTAGAGGAAATTTTTCTTTGATGGTAAGACTCTTGTCTAAGGAAATTATTTAATAATCTTTGATTCCCTGTGAATAAGGGAACTTTGTAATCCTGATTTCTCTTAAAAACTGAGCATTGCCATAGTCAGCTAGGCAATGTTGTGATAAATAGCCCTGATTTGCCTGATGCCAGGGATACTGGGAAGGAGAGGAGACGATAGTATTCCTCTGTTGCTGTGTATATATTGAGGTGCCTTTTTATTTTTCTTTAAACATTTGTTATCTATGATGAGCCTTCTGAGCCCTGATAGTATTTGGAGAGGAGGAGGTGGTGGTGATATTTTATGTTCTCCTCCACACAAAGCTTTCTCAGTTTGGAAGGAAATGTGGGTATCGTTCAAGTTGACCTTGGAATATGAATATTATTGCAGTGCTGGAATATTTTGCCATGTGATTAATAGAAATTGGTTTTATTGCTCTCTAATTTTTATTCATTTTTTATTCATGTAAGCTAGTAGTGGTAACTGGAGAAGTTTTGTTACCTCAATCCTGGGCCTGCTTGGCTGGTCGTACCATAGTAGCAGCTTCTGTTAGAGCCTCTAATGAAAACATGGCTGAAAGGAAGAAATGATGATAATGGCAGATTGCCTAGAAAATGGCTTTTGTTCTCAATGTGAATTTTCTATTTTAAATCACATTTCAGTGTTTGCGGAGAGTGGTAGATTTCACATCAAAAATATTAGGTGTTCTTATCCTTAGAGTTGGTGCAGTATCTGCAGTCGTGACAGAAGCTTCCTCTTAGCTGCTACTCCTGCCACTTAGTAGTCACCTCCCAGTAGCCCCAAGACAGGGATTAGCAGTCTTCATGGGCCTGAGGGCTCCAGGAAGGCCAGGGGGGCAGCCTGTCTTGGGCGGCAGCAGCCTGCTCCCCAGGAAGAGCTCCTTGAAGGCACTGGCTTCCGTTGGCCAGCTGTTTCTTAGGCCCTGCTGTTCCTGACTCCGGGTGGACAAAGTAGGTATCGCAGCAAAACAATTTTAAAGTGCTTTGCTTGCAGCATTTTGTTTATGATTGCAGTGTTTACAGTTCTCACTTAATAAAAGGCTTTACTTCTATTAAATTCTAGTGTTTAGAGAGCTGGGTACTGTATGTATTGTTTTATATAAGTATGCAATATGTATCATTTTATATAAGTTATGCTGTTATGTCATGTATCCTTGTAATAACAGGCCTTGCATTCAATACACAATGCAATAGACTCTTTCCAGACCTGTATTTTTCAGTGAACAATAAAAATATTGTTTGGCACTATTCTTTTCCCATGTTTCCTCTTCTTTGGAGTAGTGTATCCTTCAGTATCTGTTACAGTTTTTGTCTCTCATAAAACTTGGCTGTATATTCTTTTGTTTATGACTGGTCAGTTCTGAGACTTTTTAAAGAGAAATCTTTGTGAACCTTAAAATTCATAAGGCCTATTTCATTTCTGTGCGTTCAGAAACAATTTGATGCAGAGAAGTTCCTTGAGGTGTCCTAAACCAAGTGGAAGATTATTCTCGAAGATCGTAGAAACTCACCTTTAAAAATCTCCTCTACGTAATTTTTTTTAAGTTTATTTATTTATTTTGAGAGAGAGAGTGAGAGTGAGAGCAAGCGACCATGAGCAGGGAAGGGGCAGAGAGACAGCGAGAGAGAGAGAGGGAGAGAGAGAGAGAGAGAGAGAGAGAGAGAGAGAATCTCAGCTAGGCTCTGCACTGTCAGTGTGGAGCCCCATGTGGGGCTTGAACTCACCAAACTGTGAGATCATGACCTGAGCCTAAGTTGGACACTCAACCTACTGAGCCACCCAGGCGCCCCCTCTCCTCTAAGTAATTGTAAAACAGTAAATTTATAAAACAGCATGTGATAGTGGCTAAAGATGGAATTGTCTGACAAGGAGAGTACCGTTTAGTACCCAGTGACCCTAAGCAGCCTACAGAGTCCTTTTGTGTCTTTCTCCCCTTGATGTGGAGACAATGCAGCTAAGGGTTTGAGCTTGGCTTTCACCATCAGACAGGCTATGAAGAGAATTGTTATGGCCTGAAACTCAAACCACGTGATGCCAGTTCTCGCTGGTTTGAAAGGAGGCTGCTCCAGGTTTATGTTGACTGTGTTGCTCAGTGAAATAACTTCAGGGACCAAGAGCTTTTTGGTCCTAATTTGTATGCCAGTGGAAGCGATGTGCATTTTTTAGGTAATAGTTCAGATTTATGTACAGTTTTTTGGCCCTTCCCCACTGAAACTGTGGCCCTAGTTTAATTGTTGTTTGTTTGATATTTAGTTGGAATAAGGATTTCCCTGTGATGAGCCTCAGCAGATCAGAAACCTCCAATGGAAAGAAGTACATATTTTATCTTCACCTCATTGAAAATGCTGAAGAGAAAGAGCCAAGTAACTGGCTTGTGGATTCAGTCTTAGTAAAAGAATTGGGGACTTGACACATTCTAAGGTGATCGTAATTATGAGCCCTGAGCAGGTCCTGGCTTCAAGACTCAATACTAGAAGGTACATGTTGCATAAGTGTGGATCACTATAAATCCTTTTTCGACTTTATATTAAATCATTCATTTTTCAGTGCTTGAACAAAATCAGAGATGGAGTTTGTAGTGTTGAATCAGGGCCTAGCACGCAGAGAACGCTGTATTAGATACTTTCAAAAGATGGAAAAGAACAAGATGGTGGAGATCTTTGTCTTCTGGGAACATATAATCTCACTGCACAGATGAGAACACATATTACTTTAAGGCAACTAAAAAATGTGCTACCAATTATGAAATAATATAGAATAGCTTGAGTGCATGATACTTGCAATTTTAGTGGTAGATGAAAGGCACCTGGGTAACGGGTGTAGATCCAGGGGGAAAGGGGGAAAAGTGGGACTGAGGGCTGAACCCTGGGGAACTCCAGCTGAGAGTTTGGAAAAAGG